TGTTGGCCTTTATATTAATGTTATGTTTTGCCGTTCAAAAAGAAAAAAACAAATAGTTACGATTGTATGATCTCACCAAACTACTGTAAGTTAATAATTACTTATCAAACTATTTTATATAATTTTCCAATTGAAACTCAAACATTACCACCGTAACCAATTTATTCATTCAACTCAATTTTAATACGATTCTTTTCCAAAATAAAATAAAACCTACAGTTTTCTTTTATACTTTCACAACATTGGATGATAATTTTATCAAAAAAAATTTGGTACTCCGTATAAAGTTCATTTGAAATATGATAAACCCTTTGCTTTTAATTCATAATTCCGTATTTTGCTTTCACATCATCACCACTAATCATCTAATGTTTCTAAATATTATGATGTGATTGTATTTTTTATGTGTTTGACCGATTGACATTTACTATTATTATTTTGTCTATATAATAATTTTAAACATATATACCGTGGTTTCCACGGGTTATAACCTAGTAACCCTATAAATGAAACACCAACAATCGGTGTTGAATAGAAGCAATGACTTTACGTCAAATTTATGAAATATGAGATTTGGTTTTAGTTTGTCATGAAGCAATCTTTTAAAATGTCATATATTTTCATCCTTTAGATAAAACAAACAAATCAACATTTAACCAATATCAAAGTCAAAGTGTTGTAATTTTTTCATAAATTATGAAAAAACGAAATGTTTTCTTTTGGCAAATATGCAAACCAAAAGCTTCAAACCTCCTCATAGCCATAGGGGGAGAAATATTGGTGCTAATTCTGTCCATAAGCTTTTAAACAAAAAAGGGTAATTAAAGTTAAAACTTGCATAACCAATTATACAAATTGGTCTCATTTCAATGCCCAAATACACATCAAAAGCTCAAAATTCTAACTTCTAAGCTCAAAGATCTCACATTATTGATGCAACAACAAAAAACACCCATAACTCAAATCCATAAAAAAAAAACTCACATGAAACAGATTCAAAGAGCTTTGAGCATGTCATCTGCACCACTGGAAGTGAAAGCCCCACCTTCTTCAAGATTCAATACCTTCACAACACCATCTTCAACAAGCATCGCATACCTCCTTGATCTAACCCCTAATCCAATCGGCTTATCGCTCAAATCCAATTCACACCCAATTGCCTTCGTGAAATCCCCATTTCCATCGCTCAATAGCAACACTTCATCGCCGACTTTCAAATCGGCCTTCCATGCCTTCATCACGAAGGCGTCGTTGACTGAAATACAAGCGATTGTGTCGACGCCCTTTGATTTTAGTTTGCTGGATTTCTCCACGAATCCGGGGAGGTGTTTCTGGGAGCAAGTGGGTGTGAAGGCACCGGGGACGGCGAAGAGGATGGCTTTTTTGGATTTGGTGAGATCGGTTATGGTGGTGGTTTGGAGTTCGCCGTCGGAGTCGAAGTAGGATAAGGTTGCGTCGGGGAGTTTGTCTCCGACGGAGATGGTGGCGGAGATTTTGGGGGTGGTGGAGTATCTGATGGCGTGACGGTGGGTGAGGCGGAGGTTTTTGATGCGAAGGGGAGAAATGGAGGAAGAGAAGGTGAGAGAGCGGTGGTTGGCAGGGAGGAGAGAGGTGGAGGCGGAGGTGAGGTGGGGTTTGGTGGCGGAGGAGAGGAGTCTTGAGAAGGCAAACGAAGCGGTAGCGGCTGCCATTTTTCCCGAAGTGGCGGTGGCGAAGGCGGAGGCGGCGAAGTGGGGTTTATGAGGTTGGTGAAATGGACGGAGGAAACGATGATGAATGAACGAGAGAGACGTTTATCATGTGAAAGAGAGTAGTTGGGAAACCGAAAAGCGAATCTGAGGGCCATATTTGTAATTTATAAAATATCAGGGACTAAATATAACGTTTAATTTAGTAAATTACAAAATTCATCCATCTATTTAATTTATTACCCTTTTCGCTTCAAGAAATACAACATTCTCATTTTGGGTCTACAAAACTTATTTTAATTTTTTTTAAATCGATTATAAAATTTATTTATTAATAACCATTACAAATATTAATAAGATTGAATGTGTGACAAATTTTATTTTATTATTGATATATTATAGGCATTAGTTGTTTTGGTCATGTTGACTAGTATATATCATTTAAACTAATTTATTCTTTCACATTTTTAGGACAAATAAGATTCTATGAGTATATGCTTGGTATGATGATGGATATTCGGATAACACAAAGAGGAAGAGCAACTTGAACAAGAGATCACATATCATACTACGACAAGATAAAGCCAAGTTAATTCATAAAAAGGTAGTAATAACTTTGTATAAAACCGAGTAGTTGAACAAAATAGATCCTTGATTGCAATAAAGATTGGAATCCTAAAAAATTATAAAATTGATACACCCGCAAATTAAGTTTAGTTCAAACTAAGGTTTATGATGACTATTTATTTTAATTCAAAAAATTTAGAGATGTTTTTTAAGGATGAAATGAGATCTATACAAAAAATTGTTACGGTTTTAAGAATACTTTCGATATTATTTAGAAAAATGTTCTAAGGCAACATTATAGCCTGGCTTTGGTATTTTCAGAGTTAATTAAGCACTAAGAAGTAAAAGAATAGTCTTGGATAAATAAACATTGAGTTTAAATTTATTAGTGAGAGCATGATGCATGATACCTTGATGATAAAAGTTGATGCGAGTCACATGACAAGTGAAACTTTATAAAAATGCATTCTAATATGTAATAAATATGGATACGTGTATTCTTGTACGATGACTATGTAAATAGAAACTAAAAAAAATTTATAGTCTTATTCATCATAGTTTATATTCTCATATTTTTGGGATTCCCGTTGCAAAGAATAAATGGATAGAGAAAAGAAGAAAGGGATGAAAATGGAAATATACATTTATTTTTTGAGGCATTAGTAAAAGGACATCATCTTAGAAGGCACCAAGACAAATGTATTACAAAACAATGTATGTTTCGGTGGACCCTTCAGTAAGTTTGACTTCAGTGGTTTCATTAAAATAAGGGCACCGCCTCTTAAAAGCCCAACATTTATCGGCAAGTGTCTTCTTTTAATAACTTACCCAAAACATTAAAGTTCATTTCGGCATGACGATTAGGTAGAAAACAGTTTTTGAGTGTCTACACCACATGCTTAGGATTTTCTTATGATTATCTCTATTGACGATCTTTGCCAACATATATCGCTAGTGGAGTATTGTGTCATCCTCAAGTATCGTCTTATGATCTATTTATTTCCGATTGATGAGACATGCCATGTTTGTCGCAAGGCATGTTTGGATTCCTTTGGGGAACATGCAGTTCAATGTAGAGAGCTTCCGCGTTTCAAGTACCGACACGATCTGGTTAGGGGTGTTCTGTAGTACATATTTAGGTATGCTAGGATTTATGTCAAGAAATAGGCACTTGTGAACTTTCTGAACGACCCATTGGAAGGAAGATCAACACTTAGACCAACTGATGTTTTAACTTTTGGATAGGTTGGAGGGAAGCATGCATGTGTGGATCTAACAGGGGTTTCTCCTCTTGTGGGCTTGAGGAGTGGGGTTTTCACTATGGGGCAAGCTGCTTTAAAAGTTGCATCATGCAAAGTGACAAAGCATGAGAAAGCGTGTTTGGAAAGTCAACACATATTTATACATTTTGCATTTGATACTTTCGGTTTTCTTGCGCCAGATGTTGTGGAGCTCCTCAATAGAGATCCAATGGGTCATGCATAGTAATGTTATAACCCCAAGATCTATGGATGTTGTTTTTAAAACAACTAGTTTTGCCATCCAAAAGGGGTTGCGGCAAAAACAACTAGTTTTGCCATCTAAAAGGGGTTGCGACACAACTTGTTGTTCGTTTATCCGCTATATCTATGTAAAACTTTTATGACCTAATTTCCTTTAGTAGTTGCTTTTTAATATAAGAGTATAGGATAGATATAATAATGTTAGTGAACTTCTCACATGATTGAATCATGTGAAGACGAATGAGTTAAATGTGACACATACATCCGTTGAGTAAATAAGTGTTCATGCTAAGGTCCTTGAAGGGCCCGTTTGATCATCGACAACTATAAAAATATAGCAAGAGAACCTATGGGCTTCTTAGACAAAAGAAAAACAAGAAAAAAGTAAGCCTTCTTTGGTACCTTTAGTCCAATATTAGACAAAGAGCAAGGAGGATATGAAGCACTACTGGGTAGACCATGGCTAGAACCAGGTGGTTCATGACTAGACTAAGAAAAAGATGATAATGTTAGTGTTTCTTTTTTATTTTGGTTGCAGTTTAGATAAAAAGGAAATGACTTGATAGTGATTCTTAAGCCACATTTGGTTTGGGTGTATAATAAGTGAAAACCTGGAAGAATGTGTTGGAAATATTTCCAATTATGTATGTCCTTATACCATTTATGTAACGAAATAAGTTCAAAATATATTGATATTATTTATATCCTAAGTTTTGATTGCACATTATGTCTTAGATTTTTTTTCGAACGGTGGGTTAGTGGTTAGAAGTATCATGAAATCGCCAACGCCTGGGTTAGAACTCAAGACGTTAAATCTAAAAGGCAAAATCTGTACCAAGTGGGCTAGTCCCATATTGTTGAACAAGGATTCAAGTGGATCATGCTTAGATTGATTGTCTGAATTAATTGTAATAAAATACATAATAAGCCAAATGTTGATTTTCCTAAGAGATACACTTTATGTTCGGTATTATTGGGTTGTTTACAAAACAATGGAATGAACACAATTAATAATGTGATGGAATATTATGATTTAAGTTAATTACTGAACAAGGATCCAAGTGGACCACACTTGATTAACCAAAAACGCATACATATGGTATTTAGAAATTTTACCTCAATTGAAGTGGAGATATTTTACTATAGAAACTAATGATCAAAGCAAATGGTTTTATATCGGTACCCATACATAGTAGTGATAAGAACTATTAGAATATGATAGCAACGCAACAAGTTGATTATTCAAACACATGAAAATCATAAACCTAAAGGGGTTTAAAGAAGAATGCAATATTTTTTTCTAGTAATATAAATTTACTTGAAATTCTAATGAGATATGAACCATACTTAGATTCATACTTTGGATTAATCGCTTCCAATATTTGGATATCTAGAGAGTTATTTTGATGCACCAATAAATCATCCTTGCTTAACGTAGCCTACAAGATGAGCTCAAAAGAAGTGTTGTTATATCTTGAAGTCTTTATCATCTAGACTTGACAACAAATATCTTAATGACTACTTTTCTTATTACCTGAGAGGAAAAAGGTTATGAGTTTTCTAGGTTATAAAAAAAATTATGTGGCGGAAAAACTTTTAAACCCTTAAGTTCACATGCAACCTAGAAATGATTTATGTTTTCTCTATTGATTGCAACTAACTATTAATATCAAGAAACCCTAGTATAATTGAAATTACAAGAAGGTTTAGGGTTACATACATTTTGATTAATGTAGCGATTAGTCAACCAAAATCTCCTTTGACTTCCTTGGAAAGCAAGCACCAAAAGTTTGGATGCCTCTAATGGTTTGTACCTAAAACCTTGATAACTATAATACTTGAGGAGGGAGGAGGTGTAACGCCCGTAGATCCGGGCTAGTCAATTTAGAGACGATAAACATCAAAAATGACTTTTTGATGAAAGAT